GCTTTACACAGTCACGCATGAGCAAAGTTATTTTTAACACTTCTGCTTTTTTTACTTCGATATTTAGAAACATCTTATATTACAATAAAAACCTCTGTGATACTTCGCATTTACATAAACATTATTATTATTATTATTATTATTATTATTATATGTAATTTTTACACTAAATGTACAGAGGGAAAAACACCTCTACTGCAAAAAAAAAAAAAAAAAAAAAAAAAAAAGATATCTTAGCAAGTAAAATATCTTGAATATGGGCAAATTCAACTAATATTTCTCTCAATTAAATTGGTTTTTACAAATATATGATTATTAAAACTTTTACTATATATTTTTACTCCGTTCAAACTTAAAATGGTCTTCTTAGAGAATGAAATTTTACACAGTTTTGCTTATTTCAAGCATTTACAGTATATTAATATTACACATGATTTTTAATCCATTTCATCGTATTGTCCAGCTTTTTACTGAGTTTGTGTGTTGTGCGTTCATTCTGTTCATTCCAAAGTGTGACCTGTTTGTGTGTGACTTTGAGAATGAGTGTAAGAGTGTCTGTAAGAGTGTGTGTGTGTGTGTGTTGGAAGACTAGTGTAATACTGAAATCTATTAGAATTCAAGTGTTTTTTTTTTGTTGTTTTTTTTTTAAACCTAATTAGGTGTGTCAACATATCACCAAGATGATAAATCACAATAAGACAAAAATTGTGACATCAGCAAAAAAAAAATCCCTTTGTGGAGTGTGTGTGTGTGTGTGTGTGTGTGTGTGTGTGTGTGTGTGTGTGTGTGTGTGTGTGTGTGTGTGTGTGTGTGTGTGTGTGTGTGTGTGTGTGTGTGTGTGAGAGACAGAGAGAGTGTTCCAGTGGAATGCTGACAGGCCGTTCCTAGCAAACTGCAGCTACATTCTGATCATATCGAAACACACACATGGAAAAAAAAACAACCACACAACAATGTCATCTGTTTATCCATCAAAAGTAAGCAATAACACCGGGTCTGAGAAAGAGGACTTCGATCCCTCTCTCTCACACACACACACACACACACACACACCCCTTTATTGGGTTCAAAGGTGGAAAATGTGTTTGATTTCTCTGATAAAATTAACACACCCCTTTATTAATTATGTGCATGTGTGTGATATGTTCAGTCTCTGAGTGAATGTTCTACTGGTTTTTACTCAGTTTTGAAACACTCCTCGTTCCTAAATGACTTGAGTCACTCAGATGTAGAAAAAATCTCTGAATAAAAATGTTCTTCTAAACATGTTTATACCCAATTCACACATTTAATTTATTTATTTATTAATGAATCTTCAAATTAAATACTCAAACGATCAAAATGCGGCTCGCTGTTTTTTCTGTTTTGTGAATGAATTGGGTTGTATTAAAAAAAAAAAATAAAAAAAATAAAAAAATCAGGTTGTACTAGCCATCTAGCGCACTACGTAGGGTGCAAAACAGCACTATGTAGTGAGCAGGAAGTGGTTTGGACAGAACGTCACTGGCGGATGTTTACGTGCATTTCAGAAAATCAAGTTACATATCAACAACAGCAAATAAAGTTGAAGATTAAACTTTTTTTTTTTCCACTTTCTGCAGATTTATGGCAGAGTACGCTCATTAATGTTCATATATATTTAAATATAAATTACAGACGGCTGTAATTTTTTGTGTGTAATTCTTAAGACAGCCATAATGTGTATCTTTTAGCTCTCTTGCTAAACTTTAAACATTTCAGATATTGATCCAGTCTTTGTGTCTGTGTGTGTGTGTGTGTGTGTGTGTGTGTGTGTGTGTGAGAGAAACAGAAATGTTCTTAGATCTGTCCCCACAAGAACGTTGTAGGCACTTCGTGTACATACATTTTCCCCCTTATATGTCAGAAGTTAGCTTTTTAGGATTGAAATTATTTAAATGATTTATGTTATATACTTAAATTATTCATTTTATTATTTGTTAAGCCGTATAAGTTGTCCAGAAGTGTTATCATGTTTAAAGCTTCTCCCTCTGTGTAAATGCAAACACCATTCTAAAGCCAGAGAAATGACGAAATCCAGTCATGTGACCTCAAACCATGAATTATTCACATTGTTCTTACACACACACACACACACACACACACACACACACACACACACACACACACACACACACACACACACGACAAGGAGGATTTGAACCCCTGATAACTATTCAAGCTGAAAATACTTATCTTTTAATTTGCATGGACATTTATGGAGCTGTAAAATATGACATTAAAACACAAAAGGTTTCTTTTAATAGTTCTTAGAAATGGATATAATAGTTCATCAATAAGATACATTTCTGTGTGAACATTATTTAAAATAAAATATAAAATAAAGTGTGTGTGTGTGTGTGTGTGTGTGTGTGTGTGTGTGTGTGTGTGTGTGTGTTTTCGAGACGTCAGGAGAGCGATACATTTCATCTCATTCATCAGCATTCCTGAGAGAACAAGTGCAATGATAAATGATGCTGAGGGATGAGTAGAGCTTTCACTCCACGCTGAGAGAGAGAGAGAGAGAGAGAGAGAGAGAGAGAGAGAGAGAGAGAGGCTGAAAGTGACAGTGACGTTAACTAAATGCACAAACACAGCTGGGCAGAGCCGAAGAAAATAAGTGGAGAGAGAGAGAGAGAGAGAGAGAGAGAGAGAGAGAGAGAAAGTGAAAAGCTAGTTCATTCTCAACAGTAGCCCTTATTCAAAGAAACTCCAAAGAGATGGAGGCGTATCCTGTGTGTGTGTGTGTGTGTGTGTGTGTGTGTGTGTGTGTGCGCGCGTGTGTGCGCGTGTGTGTGCGTGGGTAGCAGCTGCAGATTGAAAGAGAAATACCTGGACCCATTCCAGACAAAGAACAGTTTTCGTAGCTACTCCAGTTGTGTTTTAAAATGGATCATGAGACCGCGCGAGATCTGAATCAATTCTGTTGTGAATTCTATAACAGACTGCGTGACCGCGTGTGTCTCCGTGTCAGATTCGAACCATGAAGATTTTAGAGGGGTGTCGTAGCAGCGCTCACACTGAGATTTTACTCACAAATTTCTCACCCTGACACGCGTTCGTGTAACTAGATCACGTCACGTTAAGCGTCATTACACCGCCGATCTCAACTCAACTCATGACCAAAGGAGCCTTTTAAGATGTACGATCTTTGTCCTGAAAATCGTACCATGTAAGCCTAGCCTAAAATGTGTTAATCTAAAACATATCACGATCCCTAAAGACATCACCGCGATGCACTACACGTGTCACAATACGTACACAATTTTCACAATAGATCATCTACAACACGTGTTTGTTCAATTGGATGATTCTGACGCAGGACTCTGATTTCACAACGTTCCAAGTTTATCAGATCAACTCTCTCTCACACACACACACACACACACACACACACACACACACACACACACACACACACACACACACACACGCATGACAAGGAGGATTTCAAACCCCGGAATCTGGTGTTTACCGTGAACGAAATGTACTAATCCCTTCTTACGAAATTCCAACTAAACGGAATTGTTTATCTGTTCATTTGCTGGGACGTTTATGGAGCTGTAAAATACAACAATAAAAGCACAAAAGGTTTCTTTTAATAGTTAAAGTACAACAAAAGATCTACAAAGTTCATAAAGCCTTCTTAGAAATGGATAAAGTTCACCAATAAAATACACACAGTGAAACAACAGCAACTGGAGAGAGGTTTTTTTGTTGTTTTTTTTAAAATATAGAAACAATGCTGTTTATTCCTGACAGTAGCGCAGCTGCAAATCACAGGTTTATATTAATGCGCTGGTTCTAATACATTATTGTTTCTATAGCAACAGCTCATTCACAAAGACTTGTACAGTGGACATTAGACTAACAATAAACAGATAAAAAAAAAATATATATATATCTCATTGATATGGTGCAGTTTTCTGTAAGGAGATGTCTATGTAACATTGATGGAAGGAGTCTCCAGTGTCAGCACTTTAACAGTCACAGGTAAAGCTGTAACCAGGTTTTCCGACATCTTCAGGACAGAGGAGTTTCCGCTTCGGTTGAGGTTTCTTGGTAACACGACAAGCTGCGTGTTTTGTTTTTTTTAGAGAAAGAAAAAAAAAAAGAGACGCTGGTGAGGGAACGAGTGTTATAGCTCTGTGTGTGACGTGTCGTTCTTTAATAAATAAATGATCATCATTAAAATGGCTGTGGTCTAAGAGGAATAAAACACTCGAGGACATGTTGTTATAGGAAAATAATGAACTTCAGGGTGAGAACAGCAACTCCGCTTAATCAGACTGATTATTTCCCTGTAAAAGCACCTCCCCAAGTGTTTTATTCCTCTAACAGCACAGCAACTATTACAATTTTTTTGTCTTTATTGAGTAAAGAATGGCATGTCATACTTTTTATCAGTTTAATGTTTATGAGTTTAAATTCCTGTGCTAATCTCAGTTGGCAGCTGGTTTTAATTGCTGTATATATTATGACTCTTTTCTGTAGCACTTTGAGATTTTCTTTAAATTGTAAAGTGCTTTATAAATAAAATGTATTATTATTATTATTATTAATGTTGAACATCTGTGAAACAAGTTAGCTCCTGTTTCATTATAGCAGCCATAAACAGCCGTTCCCTCACCAGCCCCTCCCTCTCTCCCTCTCCCCCTCTCCCCCTCCCTCGCTCTCTCTCTCTCTCTCTCTCTCTCTCTCTCTCTCTCTCTCTCTCTCTCTCTCTCTCTCTCTCTCTCTCTCTCTCTCTCTCTCTCTCTCTCTCTCTCTCTCTCTCTCTCTCTCTCT